TTTCAGTAATAATGTCATGTGCCCGTGTAGCTACCAATTTCAGTAGGAGTTAAGCAGGTACTAATAATGTACTTTTGAAAATCCAGTGGAATAATTTTGTACTTTTACTACTTAAATGAAATACTTTTGCAGAAATTGGCCCTGAGCTCCTGAATGAGAATATATTTTCCATTACTTAATTTTCCTTCATATGTGTCTTGAAGAGTTCAAAATTCTTGGCTGAGTAGCTGTAGGGTTTCTGAACCAAAGTCTGAAGAAGAGCTGCTTTTTCAATTTGTCATCCTCTTAGAAGCAGGTTTCCTTTAGGAATATAGAATTCTGAATATTCAAACATTTAGAATGCGGGACTCTGTTTGAGACAATGTGGGAGAATTGTCTAAATCCTTAAGAGCATGCAGTAGAACAGTCTTTTTTTAGGTTTACTAAATTAGTAGAGGAACAGTGAGACAACACAACACATGTGAGGCTCTGAGGCACCAGGCTTAGGCATCCAAGAGGACAGAGCTGGTGTGGGAGTCGGCAAGGTTGAATCCAATAAATATGAGCTGAACTTCACAGTTCTGGGTGTCCTTCTGGGCTGTTTTAGACACACATGCTTTGGCATATGTGTACCTTTGGGCATGTGTGCATGCAGCTCCTCCCTGGGAATGGAAGGCAGGAAGAGATGGGGAAGAGGGAGCAGCATTTCTTGGAAGTTTCCTTTCCTTGCACTCAACTCTGCTGCTTCTGGGGACTGAAGAGTTAGAGGCTGAGCAGTGGAGAACAGGAGCACATTGTTTAAGCTCCCACAGAACACTTCATGATGGAAAACTTTGACCGCTCCCCTACCTTGGTGTGTGTGGGCTCTGTAGCCCAAAAGCTGGAGCTGTGATTGCCTCGCCTTCTCCATGTCTCAGAAGCTGTGGTGGCTGTTCTGGGCACAGGCTCCTTTTGAATGATTTCACTGCAGTGGCACCCTGCACTGCAGGCAGCTGGACAGAGGTCCCAGGGGATGCAAATTGTGCGGTGTAAACAAAGGGATTTCCATGCTCTGCTGCCTCCTTGGCTGTGTGAGTGCTGTGATGATTTACATACCTGTGTGTCTTGAAAAGAGCATTTGTTCTGGACAGCTTTTCCTATTAATTTGCTATTGTCCTTCATGGCTAGCTTGTTTCTTTCTCTCCCCTTTCTGCTGTATTTCACAAATTTTAAAATAAGGCCATCAAGATAAATTGCCTTTTAAAGTTTACTGTCCCTTCCAAATAGATTCCCCCTCTCTCCCTATTCACAAATCACCTTCAGAAGAGCTAGATTTACTGCAAGATTCCTCACTAACACAATTTTTGCTAACTAGAAAAATTCTAAGTAAATTTTAAACTTAGACTTTAAAATATGTATCTGTGTTTTTTCTTTCTTAAATTATGATATGCCAAAGGCCCTGGACTAAAATGCCAGATCCCTTTGTCTATTAGGGAAGCTGCTATGCTGACCTCTTTTGCCTTGACATTAATTAAATTGGTAGAGGATATTCCTTCATTGCCAGGTGTGGTGGAGGGTGCAGTCTCCCTTAGTACCTCACTTCTCTTTGGTGTCACTAGTGTAGGTCTTGACTGGGTAAGACAGATGGATTTGGGATTTGCTAGGCCAGAGAATGCCTTCATTTTCTGGAAGGTTTCTTGATGTGTGATGTAGATTATGGCACCATTCAGGTGACAGATTTGATCCTGAAGTGGCTTCAAGCTAACTCTGTCTTACCTCTGGATGTCATTCTGAGCCAAGGACTAGCTGAGGTGACCTTGCTCTGCGAAGCAACCCAGGTCTAAGCCTGGGGATGTGGCACAGGCCCACACTGCAGTGAGATGCAGTTCCAGTAGTTCAAAATTTTTCAGTGGGTCTCTCGCAGTGATGGAATCTGTGTATTTTTGCAGGATCAAGCCCTAGACCTATGATAAGGGATTATAAATGTGGACAGCAGTTGTAAATTTTAAAATAGATTAAGTTGTGTCTTCTTATGTTTCAGTTTGTCTCTGAAAGCTTTCCAGTGGCTTTTAGGGCCCTTCCTAAAATGAGATGTGATGAGGTACTGCTGGGTTTCCAAGTTTAACTTTACCCAATAGCATGTCATTTTTTTCTACCTTTCTCTCTTTTTAACTAGGATGCAGTGCAAGTTCACAGGTTTGAGAGTCTTTTAGGTTGGGAAGAGTTGTTTGTGGGATTCCAGAGCTGGAGTGTGTGTGGAGTGATGGGGCTGTGCACCACATGCCCATCCTCTGGTGTGGGAAGTGGTGCCAAACCCACTGGTGGCACTGCAGAGCTGGGGTCCTGTGCTGCTACCCCCATGTCTGTAATGTGCTCTCCCTATTTCTTTATAGTCCTTACAGGCCAGCAGGAAATACAGGGAACAGCTAGAGATAAATAATAAATGAGGGGGATTGTCTGGTGAATACCTTCAGCTATGATGTGGAAAATCTTCAGATGGGAAGCCTGCCTGAAAGGCTTTAGTTTCCTCATCCCTTTGCTCAGCACTATGGGTCTGTGGAGACCAAACATTTTATAACAACCAGCATGGACTGGAGCCCAGTGTGGACTGATGGCAGAGGCTTGGGAAGAGGACACACCACTGAAAGGAGAAGCACTGCATTCAAGTGAGATATGAGCTGTCTAGAAAAGCTAAAACTAAAAAAAAAGCTAAAGTTGTCTGAAAGAGCTAAATTGTAATTCAAGCTTCCTGACCTAAGCTAAGCTGCACTGTGACTCTGGAGGGTGCCTGCTTTCTTTTAGGAAAAAAAAAAAGGCCATCCTATCTCAGTGCATCCATGCTGTGGGATCAGATGTTGTTGCCTGGTATAGTTCCTCAGGCAACAATCTGGGGGCTTAAATTCTTAGCTGTTATCCCTCTTCCACAAATGGTAGAGGTCTCACAGCAACGACAGGCAAGGATATTTTAACCAACAATATTGACAGAGACAATTTATAGCCTATTGTGTGGATGCAGCTGCTGAGCATTCATATCCTGCCACCATCTTGGCATTCCTGACTTTTTATTTTTGACAAAGGGTGTTTAACCAGGAATACCTTCATACCTCAGCAGAATTCATATCTTGGCTGTTTGCATCTTTGCTCTATTGACTTTTTCCAGCTTTCCTTCCTTCCCTTACTTCTCACACACACACCTCTGGTTGAAAAAAAAAAAAAAAGAAAAAGAAAATATTTGTGTGTGCAAGTAAATGAAGCTAAAACCATCATCACAAACCATAAGTAAAACTTGGTAACAGAAGAAATGGCAGTCTGGCAAATATTTTACATAAATCAGTTCTGAAACCAATAACATTTCTGTATTTACTATTGCAATAAAAAAATCTTTTTACACAGATAACAGAGAAAGGGTTTTGAAGGGCCATCTTTTCAAACCCCACTTTTAGGGTTTCCTTAGGATGGTGCTTACTACAGAGAGGATCCTCAGTGTGTTCTACCAAGACATTGCAAAACCTGTGAGCAGAGGGCTGGGGAGAAAGTATTTGTGCAGGTATATTTTACTATATGAAACTATTAGTTTTACCTTTTACTCAGGTAGGATGTGCTCAGTCAAAGCTCAGCCCAGCTGCAGTGCCCCCAGGTCATGGAGCATCTCCATACAGCTCCCTCTGAGCTCCCCTTGCTCCCCAGAGCAGTCGTGGCTTGAAGCACACGAGCAGGGCTGCAGTGCCCAGCCCGTGCCTGGGCTGTTGCCACCCCACAGGTGTCAGGAAATCACTATTTTCCCTTGCTAGATCACACACAGACTCCTTTTTCAGCTGCTTTTGTCGGGATTGTTACTATTTCCTGACTAAATTTTCACAGTATGTCCATCCTTGCCACAGCACAGGTTAAAGAGGACAGTGCAACCTCCCAAAACTGGTGGAACAGTGGCTGGAAGATGGTGGTAGATTATTTTCCCCAAGGTAACCTGGGTGAAAAATGAGGCAGGGAACAAAAAGGTGAGAGTCTTATTTTCACCCCTGCTTTTTCCTGGGGTCCAGCACAGTGGCACAATGTCCAGGACATGCTGTGCAGTTGCATCTTGCTGAGCCCACAGGCATTCTGCTCCAAGTGGGAGCTCCCTTCACCACTGCTGGGTGTGAGAATGATGGTCAATCACCCTTAATATCTTCTGAGTGATCTCCAAGCAGTTTGAGTGAAGTACTAAGCAGTTTCAGCCAAAAGGACTGATATAAATTAAAAATTAGTGACTTGTGGCATCTTGAAAACCAGCCCCACGCTTAGGATTTTTATTTTTTAAAGCTTGCCCTGTTTTTCATCTTATCTGCAGGGAGGCTCAGCCTGCTGGCTGGCTCAGCACACAGAGGAGAGTTTGGTGTGGCTGTGATTGACAGGGCCATGGTGTTCTGTCAAGGAGGTTTTGATTTAAAAGCCAAGTGGTTTTGGGAAATTTCAATGGTATAGCTTCCAGTGACCTGAACTGAAGTTGCCTTTCAAGCACAGGGATGCTCATCCTTTTCTATCTCCTTTCCTTCTCTAATTCATCTGCAATTCTTGTGGGGAGACAGAGAGGTCTGTTATTTCCTGGTCTATGCTATTTTTTCCTCTCTCCCTGTCTTTCACCACTGAAGTATCTCAGCAATGCCAGGAGGCTGGTATGCCCTGGGAGGGTAAGAATAGTCTACAATGGCAGAGGTCACTCCTGTTGTTGCCTGTCCACTTGCAGTTGCCTGGACAGATCCACACAGAGGTAGGAGCAATTGGATCTGATAAGTCAGAGCTGTTGTAAGACAACGTGTTAAAGCCTGAAGATCAACATTCAAAACTAAAAGTCCTGTTCAAATCCTCAAATTCAATTCATCAACACATTGTTGTGGCTGAGTTCCTGATTTCTGTCCTTGACCCTCAGCAAAAATTCCTTCCTTTTATACTTTTTCTTCCCTTTTTCTACCTGCTTTCTTCCCTGTCTAGGTCTAATCTCCTTTGGAAATGACAAAACTCTTAGGACATCAGGAGCTGGAAATGTTTTGAGCCTGTTCAACATGGAGCACTGGGACTCACTTGGATTTTTGATAGTCACACTCAATTATAATGTGACTATTGTAGGTAAGTAGACCTCTCTTCTTTCTTTTGCTGCTTCATATCCTGAAGTGCCCTACTGATAATCAACTTTAATTTCAGGTTCTGTGATCTGTGCTGTTAGTTGCTTTCTTGATACCTGATAGAAGAGATTAATGCATTTATTTTCTTGTTAAATAGATTACTTCTCTCTCTTTGATTTTTCCTAAACATTGCATAAAATATTCTGGCAAGGTTTTCAAATTTGGGTCTTCTTGATGCCAGGGCTTCCTGTCAGCTGGAAGAAGGCATCATGGTAAAAACACACAGAAGTAATGCTGAACTTATTCCACATAAAGTGAATGGTAGAATGTAGGCAATAGCTTGAGTAACAAATTACAAAAGTTAAAAAAGAGGACAGAAGACCCACTCTCTTTCAGAGGAGGAAGTTTGTTATTACTACCATTGTGGTTAATTATTTCTTTCCATTCTTTATTTTTTGTAAACAAATAAGGATCATATGCATTTAAAAAAAAAGCAAACCCCAGCAAAATGCCATTGTCTTTTCCTTAGCTAGCTGTTTGCTGCTTATTTTTCACCCATGTAATTTAAATAAGGTTCTGTTCCTCTTTCATGGGCTACAATGAACAAAGTGTGAGCCAGAGAAAAACTTTCAAGGGCCCTTTAGAGACTCTTTGCCTGCAGCAGTTGCTGTAGTTTATGCTGTGCACTGCAGGGAGCATCCAGCTGAGCCCCAGCGGGGTTGCTGGAGAGGCTTGTTCTTGTGTGCTAAATCAAGATTGGGTCTTTAGGGACAGGGATGCATGGAGGGGTTATCTCTCAAGTGTATGTCACACTAAACTACTTCCTAAGGAGCCATTGATTTTTCTTAAGCAGTACTCCCCATTGTACATGTTCAAATTAAAAATTGATAGTGAAATAGCGTGTAGTATTTTGAGCCTAATTAACTAATGAGCTTCAAACACTTTGAGGTCCTCAAAAGGGGAAAAAAAATGCTACCAAAGGATGAAACATGGTTTGCTAAAGATGATGGATGCTGTAGAGCTGGTGTTTCCCATTGACCCACACTGTGTCAAAAAGTGAGTAACAGGGCAGCCTGCCAGCAAACACGGGAAGCTGGAAACACAGCAAAACCACCACTACAACTCAGGTGATTGAAGATAAAATGGAAAGGCCTCAATTTATTTACGGCTGGATAATACATTATTTTGCCAGGAGCAGCAGTTTCTCTGATGATCTCTCATAAACCTTACACATTCTTCATGTTTTTTCACTACAGAGTGCAGTTTTGCTGTTCTAGCCCATAATCAATCTACTGGCCACAAATGGATTTTAGAGGGCACTTGAACTGTATGTTCAGTACAATAATAGGTATCACACAATGTTGTGGAAATATTTGAATATTTTAAATTAGCACCAACTACTGGGAAATAGCTTTATGGGAAATACAGAAGAAAATTCTCCAAGGCAACACCCATAAATAGTGTTTAAAATAGTTTATAGAAAAATGCTTTGTGGTATATTTTTAAAAGCCTTTATAATGTGTATTGGTGCTATTTCACAGATTGCACACAAAACCTTGTGTGCATGTGAGATGTGCATTCACTGCTAATGACTTGATTTTTCAGTACATTTCTCAGCCATTAATTCTGTCTAATATACTTCTCTTTAGTCACTGAGTCTTGCTGTTTCTCTGCTTGTGTTTACAATTTGTGTCTTAACAATTCTGTAAAACAGAACTAATCTTATAATTCTTTTATGTGGGTTCCCCCCCACACCTTTTTTTTTTTTACTGTGTTTTTCCTCTTTTCTTGTAGAGGATTATTAAATTGAACTACTTTTTCAAAACTATATAGGGAATTGATGACAGGATTCAAAAGGAAATGTGAGAAATTCAAATGCTAAACTCAAGTTCAGATGTTGAATATGTGTTTGTACAGAATGCATTTTTAACTTTTGGCAACAGAATTGTATATCTTTAAACCTTCCTATCCTGCCCAGGAAAAGGTTTTAGATTTTCATAGAATCATAGAATGGTTTGACAGAAGGGACCTTTAGGTCTGAGTGGAGAAAAGCTGCTCACTGAGGTGGACAAAGGTTGGAAATCATGGCCAAGATGAGACAACCAAAGAAGCAACAGAGAGAAATGGGTGAACATTTGCACAAATGTACGTTTGTAGAACACTTTGCATAAGTTTGTTAATAATAAAAATAAGTAACTGATGGTTGCTAGTAAATACCATTCTAGACACAACAAAGATTTTGCTGGCCACAGTGAACTTTACATGCAATGTCATGGAGCAATCTTTTCAGTCTAGATGAGTCTCATACTGTGTTACCTGAACTGTATTGTTGAAATAGGACAAAATTCAGGTGCAGGAACCCAACAACAAGGAAAAACTGTGAATGAAATGTATTATTTAGTCAGTTTTGATCTCTTTTTATCAGAGTGTTTTCATTAGGTTTCAGTTGGCATGGCTTATTTTGTGTTTAACTCCTACATTGTCGAGCCTAGGTGAAGATTATGGAATATGTCAGCTACACATTTTTCACTGGATTTTCAGCCCCAGTCAAAAAAAAAAAAAAAAAAAGGAGCTAATAAGAGGGAAGATTGTTTCCTCAAATGCCTCATGTATAGAAAGAGTATCACTGTATGACCTTTCTTCTCAGGATCTGACTCTCTTCTCTTTCCCTCTCTTGCAGGGAAGATCTGGCTGATGTTAATAGTCCTGCTGCGGATGGCAGTGGTGGTGTTAGCAGGCTACCCCCTGTACCAGGATGAGCAGGAGCGCTTTGTCTGCAACACCCTGCAGCCAGGATGCTCCAACGTTTGCTATGACCTGTTCTCTCCCGTGTCTCACTTCAGGTTCTGGCTCATTCAGACCGTGTCTATCCTGCTGCCCTATGCTGCATTCAGCATTTATGTTTTGCACAAGGTAGCTATGTACATTGTAAGAATGCACTGTCTGGTGCATGGGTGCAAGAGGAACAAGGGTTTATCAAGCCCTGAAGATGTGAAGGAGCTCTGTAGAAGTGCAGTTGTCAATAGAGAAGATTATTATGGTGCAGACAGCCTAAGTGTCCTTAATTTTTCAGGGGCATATACCATTCATCTTTTTATTAGGACCCTACTTGAGGTTGCCTTTGCAGCTGTACAATACTTTCTTTTTGGATTTTTTGTTCCTGACCGCTTTTCATGCTACCACTCACCTTGCACAAGCACTGTTGACTGTTACATCTCCCGGCCCACTGAGAAATCCATCATGATGATTTTCATCTGGGGGGTCAGCAGTCTGTCCTTTCTGCTCAGCCTTGCTGATCTCGTCTGTGCTCTCCAGAGAATGACAGCAAGAAACCAGAAGAACAAGCAGCTGGCAAACCTCTGCACAGAGAAGGAGTGCATGATATATCTTCCCCCAGTCCAGCACAGTAGCTCTTCTCCACCTCAAAATGGGGATGGCCCAGCAGCAAACAGCTGTCAGGCCAGTGATGGCACCTGCTCGCTCCTCCCTGACGAGGAAGAAGAGGCTGTTCCTCATCCTGCAGGTGTCCCTCAGCAAAGTGCCTGCACTAACATCAGCAGCAGCAGTAAGTGCTGTGTACCAGGAGACCTTGCTGTTAAACATCAGAGCACTGAAGAACCTTTGTGTGCCAGTGACCACCAAGGAGCTCCCTGCAGCCAAGTGAGACCCAGACTTCAGCAAGACTTCATTAAAGATACTGCCCTGGCTTTGAGACCTCAGATCGAGTCTCCCCTTGGAGTTTCTTCCGCTGTTGTCCAGAGCAAGCTTTTAGGGTTCTACCCTACAGCTGAGCTAAAAAGCCCTGATGCACAATCGAATTATAGCAGCACAAGCTGCCTGAGGTCAAAAAAGTCCGAATGGGTATAGAAGCCAGAGTGAACACTGTGCTGTGACCTTGACAGGGCAAATCATTGCAGCACTGAAGAGGCTTCAGGGAGTTTCAGCTGAATCCCTTGGCTGTGGTTATGCTGCAGAGACACTCTACTCCATTAGAGAAGAAGCAAAAACTTTGGATAAGAGTTTGAAGGGTATTACATTAAGGGACATGTTCTTTAGAAAATGTGACGTGTTTGGTTTTTTTTGCATGTAGATTGTTTTAAAAGGCTGTGGACTGTCACTGATGTGACTGACCTGGTTTTCCAGGAGTGTGTGTGAACACTTGTTTATTCTAACCTAGTTTTATTGCAAAAGATTGACCTTAGCAAAGACAGGTTTTCTACTCTCAGAAGCCTAGTTTATCTCCTCATACTAAATTCTCAAAGCCCACTCTAAGACAGGATATTCAAGAAGACTAGGCAGTGAATAAAATAAAAACACTTGTTTTGTAGCAAAGTGTTAATTTGTTAAAACCCCTGGATCCTATTGCTTGAAGGCAATACCCCTCTCCCAGCTAGCAGTGCCAGGGCAGCACCTTCCTCTGACACTGGTGCCAGCTGCAGTCTGATCACACCTGAGATATTCAACTACAACACCTGCCAGTACCTGAGGGGCCTAAAGGAAAGCGAGAGGGGGACTTTCTACACGGGCGTGTAGTGACAGGACAAGGAGGGATTGCTTCAAACTGAAGTAGGGTAGGTTTAGATTAGATGCAAGGAAAAATTTTTTTGCTTGATGGTGGTGAGGCAGTGGAAGAGTTTGCCCAGAGAAGCTGTGGATCTTCTGGATGTCCCATGCCTGGAGGTGTTCAAGGTCAGGTTGGATGCAGCTTTGAGCAATCTGGTTTCATGGAAAGTGTCTCTTCCTATGGCAGGTGTGGTGGAACTAAATGATCTTTAATGTCCCTTCCAACTCAAACCATTCTATGAACTACAATAACCACCAAAACAGAGTGGCTGCATCTGCATTAGCTGTTGGGCATGGTCCTGTGCTTGGGAATTTCTCAGGAGACAACAAGGAGGTGTGAGCCAGAAGGGTGTCAGAGAGTGCTCCAGCAGCTTGACAGGGACTGAGCAGCAATGCCCATGCTCTGGCTCCACTGACACATCTACAGGGTGTTACTCCTCAGCCTTAAATAGTCACACTGGGCTCTCAATTTCAGGAGGTGGGAATGAATCACCTGACCTGTTTTAGGGGTCTCTAAAGGTAAGATGAGTCACTTTCTAGATATACCTATTTCTCCCACAATATGATTATCTCATCATTATCCCTGGGTTTAGGGAAAATGGTTTCTACCCTGAAAGAAGGATATAGTGGCAATGTCTATATCAAAGTGCTTGCCCTCTTTGTCTGACAGAGTTATAATGCTGATAATTTGAAAACATGTCTAAATTGAGTGAATCACAGAAGATTTTATTACAGTCATGCTTTATGCTTCCCTTCATTGTTAATTCTGTCGCATTTGCATAAGCGTGGTCCAGCACTACAGCGCAGCAGAGCGTGAGATGAATTTTCTTTCAGCTACAAGTCCGTGGGGTTTGAAGGTTGCACATACCTGCAGATCATCAGTGGGAGTGGATGTGGAGGAGAGAAATGTGCTGGTGGTAGTGTCTTATAAAACAAATTATTCCGAGGGTATCAAGAATTGGTATTTGTAGATCCTGCTTGGTGCTGGAGTCGCTGTGATGCTGTTTAGACCAGGCACAGGTCAAGGCTTGCTCTTGTGCTGCCATGTAACAAATTTCTGTGATAACTCAAGGGTTGGCTCCCAAGTGCAGGGCATGAAGGGACAACAGCTTTCACAGTCTACCTTTTCTCTCCTATGGGTGCAGAAGTCTTCAAGACAGGCTCACCTGTGCATTATTTCTCACATGTAGAAGGTAAAGACTAGCAATTTTCCCTTCTCTTCTGCATTCCCCTAAAATTAGGTGGCTTTAATAGGTAGACAGAACTGCTCTTGGGATCAGGAGCAAAGTACTTTGGGATCCTGAGGTAGGCTATGGCCATTTTTAACTACTACCTTCTAAGTAAGGTTTTCCTCTCCACTAGCTCTGTTTGTTTCTTTTATTGTGCATACTTGTTGTGTGATTTGTCATTTCCAGGGTAGAAGCAGCATTAATTATTAAACTTATCATAGGCAGAAAAACATTAAATATTTAAAGTTCTCGTCCTCCAAAGCCTCTTTAATGGGGTCTGTGCTGATTACACGTGCCATGACAAAACATTGCAACAATGAAACCTCTTATGATTCATTGCATCTTCTCAGATGTGAGAAGGAATGCATGGAGCAAATGTGGATTCAGCCTATTGCATACATCCCACAGCATGAGATCTAAACAGGGTAGAAAAAATAATAAATGCATTGTGGCTGGACACAGTTTGGTTTTTTTTCTCTCTGGTAAGACATTTTTTAATGACTGAAGCGAAGTATCAGTTTGAAATGGGAAATATCTTCTTTGCATGTGAAATGGAAAGTGATGTCTTCATTTGTCTGCAGAGACTGTGGCCTTTGGGTTGTGCTGCATCTCTGCAAACCTGGCTGATTTTGGGACTTGTGGATCCATTGACCCACAATGCAGGTCAATGTATTTGTAAAAACTGCATATTAAAGGAGAAAAATTTGGTATGGAATTTTCCCTGGGGAGTGAATAGAAACCTCTGGCATCAACAACCTGCTGCTAGGGCAATGACTCAGAGATTTTACTACTATTTCTCCAAGTCACATGTATTAATTACAAAGATGCAGCAAGGTCAGCTGATTTGTCAGCAAGGGAAGAATGAAGGGAAGAAGTGTAAAGGAAGTTTGAACTGTTGTGAGCTTCCAGAGCTCAATGAAATTAAAAGTGATGGTTGGGAGGGACATCCACAGTGGGGAGGAGAAAATAGCAAAAAAAGATCTGCTTGAAAAAAACAAAGATCAGCTCTAAGTTCCCCTTGTATTCAATATCACTGAACGTGGAGGTGCTGTAGACATGTCTAGATGTCTTAAGAGTGAGAAAAGAACTGATAGATGTGAAGCGAAGAAGTAGCATGGCTTTCTGCTGTTAAAACAAAAATTTAGTCTTTTAAACTCATGTACTGGTCTTGTAAGTCCTTCCAGAAATTATTGCATACTCAGAAAAATATTGCAAAAATTTCTTATCATGTTCAACGATGTGTCTTTAAATGATTTCTTAACCTATATACTTCGGAAAAGCATTTCAAAGATGGGTTGAAAGCACAATACTCCTCAAAGTGCCCTTGGGGAGCTTTGTCTTGTGCTCAAAGTGCAGGTGTCACTTGCACCCTGAGGTGGCTTTATGGAACAATACAGAAGATAGATATTTTTTCCCATCCATCCTCGTGTGGTGCTGACCATGAGATTATACAGAAAGAATTGAGCTCCCTGGAAATAAAAGTTGGAACTGGTCAGAAAAATCTAGGATAAAATATTTTTCATGTAAGAAATAAAATGTTTATTGGAAAATTATAAAATATCTTAAAAATGTTTCTTTTCGTAGTATCTTCAATTGCACTTCAATAGCAATTCTCTTGCTAAAAAAGTATCTAGTAGGCTGCTGGAGGCACAGAATTTTCATGTTTTCTAACATGCAAAATCAAGTATCACTGGAAGTTTCTGCAGCATGAACATGATTGAAAGAAAAAAATTAATTTTTTTTGCCTCTAATTAAAATATATTTACATTTTTCTCTAAACAAATATTTTTTGTTTTGTTTTGTAATATATTTTTAAATACCCAAGTCAAAGCCAAACTAGTTTAGAAGCCATGATTCAGTCAGTTATAATCACTTTATCCTTTTCTTGCACTTTTCAGGTTGGGTCACTTTGATTTACTCTCAGCAGCATAACAGAAAATTTAGTCTTTTAAAAGAGCTGTGACTCTCTTCTCTTGTGAAAGACACTGTAGACAGGTGTCTAGGGAATGTATAATTTCCTGTCAGCAGCAGTTGTTCTGCATGAATATCTCAGTTCAGCCCAGAATAAGTATTAGATCTGAAGTTAGCAATGTTGAGACATCCTCAATGTATTCTCTCAAGTTATTATCTGCCCTTACATGGTACATCATTATTTCAATTAGCTTTCTAAAATAAATCCTTAAAGAGCACATTAATTGAGCATTATATTATTGTAATGTCCTGATTACAATGGAGAACAGATAAATTGTTACTGCTTGTAGTATTTTAGGACACTAAAGAAATACACCTCAAAAAATAGGACAGTGGAGTAGTTCAAAAGGCTGTTCTTTAACTTCTGTCTTTTGATCTGCTTTTAATAGCCCAATGTTCTCCTCTGACAGAGAAGTAATTTTACAACATAATGTCTTACATTGTAATTGAGTTGCTAAACTGTTCTGCAGATTAGATGGTCTCTGCTCACTCATAGCATGAACTCTTGGCCTGTGATACCCAGCAATGCTGTTCTGAAAGATGAGTTCACCAAGGCAGAAATGTGATCAGAATGTATCAACTGCATCTCTATATTAAAATTACCCCGTGTCCATGTAGATAGATTACAATCACAGTCTGCTTCACTAGCTTCTGATTTCTCCCACTTTGCTGCCTGTTTCCTTCCATTTGGTCTGGCAGGCAGGAGGTCCCAGGCCATCTCCACAGCTGTAATTTACTCGTGGGAGTCCAAGAACAGTTTTATAATCCTGTGCTGCTCACAGTGCTGTGGAAATGCCAGGAGGTAGAGAGCTGTCTCCAGTGCAGTGTCTGCAGGTGACCCTTTATGCTGAGTACTGGATTAGCTCTGAAAAGCTTTCACTGATGGACAATTTACTGAGTGAGGATGATGGGATTTTTTGAGCTTGTTGTTAGAAACTGGGGTTTATATGTGGTGCTCTCAAGAGTGATGGGGGATTTGGGCTCAGCAATCAGAAGTAATTTCCTTCATTTCTGGCTTTCCTATGTGAGTAGCATCTATTTTGCCAGTGAGACTTTAGGCACCACAACATTTTCTGGCACTGAAAATGCTACTTTTAGAAAAGA